AACCCTTGGGCGCCGCGCTTCCCAAGAGGTGCACTATCCAGTGCGCCACCGGGCCGGCCCCCACCTTGTGATTTTTTATTTTACTTTTGGGTGGACTGTAGTGGAGATTATACTGGATGAGCAATTCCTTATCCCAAAAGATGTCTATATCTTAATCTGTGATTTCTGAGATTTTCACCTTCTGTGGCAAAAACGATCTCAGCGGATGTGATTAAATTAGAGACTTTGATATCTGGAAATTATCCTGGGCTACCCAAGTGAGCTTGACATAATCACAGGGGCCTTTATAATAGGGAGGGCAGAGGGTCACAGTCAGCAGGTGTGACAATGGAATGGGGTGTTGGAGTGATGAGGCCATCGAACAAGGAATGTGGGAGCTAGTTGAAGCTGGAAAAGCAGGGAATCCGATTTTCTCACCAAAATACAGCCCCACTGACTCCTTGATTGCATCTCAGTGAGACTTCTCTCCTCCAGAACCATAAGAAAATATATTTATGTTCTCCTTAGGCAATAGGTTGTGGGAATTTGCTACAGCAGCCAAAGTATCTAACATGAGAAAACTAGTACAAGGGGAGAGAAGGTCTTTTACTTCCTGAGTGGGTGGTTGTCCTCTGTTCTCCCAATCATTCCCACCTTCTCATCATTTGGTAGCAATTTTGAGAAGACGCAGAGCACATTTTACTGTGAGGAGAGCTAGCACCAGAATTCATCACAATAGGAAATTTCTTGGGTAAAATTCACTAATTACATCTTGGACAATCTGAGTATTTGAGATCTCGGGGGTTAATTCTCACGGCATGTGAGAAGAGGGGAAAGGCTTGTTCATTTATTTGTTTGTTTTCATATTTGGGGGACTATTAGATTTTCAGGACACAATCTGAGAAATAGGGCAGAGTCACACAGTTAGAAAGGGACAGAGGAGATGAGGAAGGTGTCAGGCAGTACAATAGGAGCTTCTGCTCAGCATCTGAAACAGCATCATTCAGTGTGTAAAGGCTTTGAGAAAAAGTCATGTTATGTAGACGAACTGCAGAGAAACTGAATCAAAGTGAGGGTCAGTGTGGGACAGGGGCAGCAGGAGCTGTGAATTTCACACCATCCTGGTTTTGTCATTTCTCCCATTTTATAGGCCATCGGCTCTCCTACAGGATGAACACGGACACATGGAAGGAACACAATGAAAATCAGAGAGAGCTGGGTTCAAATCCCAGCCCCTAGTAGATTTTGCAAACCAGCCCTGTGCTCTGATGAACAGTTTCCTCATCTGTGAAATGGAGCCTTAAGGATATCAAGGGGTCTCCTGAGGGATTAACCAGAGGATGCACCACAAAGTATCATTTTTATTTTAAGAGAAGAGTGCCCAGTGCTATGTTCTATGTACCCTTGAATCTTTTAGAATATGTAAAATATTGCTAGCCAGATGTTATTTTCAAAATTCATCAGAATTTACTCTACATCTGAGTAAAATTAGCATGGCCACTAACCTATTTATTTGTAGCAAAAGAAATTGAAGGAGATTACAAATGACCATCACACCTAAGTCTGGGTTTCTCTGATTCCCATTTATGTTAGTTTACTAGAATTACTGTAACAAGTTATGAAATATTTGATGGCTAAATTCAACAGTAATACATTCTCTCTCAGATCTGGAGGCCAGAATTTAGGAATTGGTATCATTTGGCCAACATCAGGGTGTTAACAGGCTCTTTTCCCTCCAGAGGCTGTAATGGAGAATCTGTTTCTTGCCTCTTGAACTTGTGGTGACTGTAGCTTTCCTGGGCTTGTGGCCACATCACTCTAATCTCTGTCTCTGAGTTGACCTTCCCTTCTCCTGTTTTCTCTTTGTTAATTCTCTCTCAGTCTCTCTCTTCTTTTATTTTTTTTTCCCCTTTTGTCTTTTTTTCGTGACCGGTAACGGGATCGCAACCCTCGGTGTTGCTCCCGCACCGCACTCAGCCAGTGAGCAGACCGGTCTCCACATGGGATCCGAACCCTCAGTGGGAGCGCCGCCGCGCTCCCAAGCACCGCACTCAACCGAGTGCGCCACCGGGCTGGCCCTCAGTCTCTCTCTTCTAAAGACACTTGTGACTTCATTTAAGTCCTATAGGATAAAACAGAACAATTTCAACATTCTCAACCTTGATTTACAACAGTAAAGGCCTTTTCCCCAATGAAGTAAAATTTCACAACCTCCATAAAATAGGATTCAATATGTTGGGGAGCACACTCAGTCTACTAAATAGTTACAGCCCCAACTTTCAATGTGTCCTTACACCTCTCTCTGTGTATCTATCATGAATCATGCTTCCCTAAGCAAATCCAGTTACAACTATGTCTGGGCCCAGAGGGACACACATAGGAGGGCCTTTCTCAAGTTTGCTTAAAGACCTGGTCTATC